GTATTTGTTGTAGAGTGTTCGAAATTAGTATATTTGGCGCTTCGTTTTTTCAATGTTCTTCCTTTATATTATATAGCATGTTATAGATTGTACTTACTTTATGCTCTATAGTTCTAATTACAGTGCTTTTCGTATTTGTTGTGGAGTGTTCGAAATTTGTATTTTTAGCGCTTTCGTTTTTTCAATGTTTTAACTTTATATTATATAGCATGTTATAGATTTTACTTACTTTGTGCTCTATTGTTCTAATTACAGTGCTTTTCGTATTTGTTGTACAGTGTTCGAAATTAGTATATTTAGCGCTTTTGTTTTTTCAATGTTTTTCCTTTATATTATATAGCATGTTATAGATTGTACTTACTTTGTGCTCTATAGTTCTAATTACAGTGCTTTTCTTATTTGTTGTGCAGTGTTCGAAATTTGTATATTTAGCGCTTTTGTTTGTTCAATGTTTTTCCTTTATATTATATAGCATGTTAAAGATTGTACTTACTTTGTGCTCTATTGTTCGAATTACAATGCTTTTCATATTTGTTGTATAGTGTTCGAAATTAGTATATTTAGCGCTTTTGTTTGTTCAATGTTTTTCCTTTATATTATATAGCATGTTATAGATTGTACTTACTTTGTGCTCTATTGCTCTAATTATAGTGCCTTTCGTATTTGTTGTAGAGTGTTCGAAATTAGTATATTTAGCGCTTTTGTTTTTTCAATGTTTTTCCTTTAAATTATATAGCATGTTATAGATTATACTTCCTTTGTGGTGTATAGTTCTAATTGCAGTACTTTTCGTATTTGTTGTAGAGTGTTCGAAATTAGTATATTTAGCGCTTTTGTTTTTTCAATGTTTTTCCTTTATAATATATAGCATGTTATGGATTGTACTTACTTTGTGCTCTATAGTTCTAATTACAGTGCTTTTCTTTTTTGTTGTACAGTGTTCGAAATTTGTATTTTTAGCGGTTTCGTTTTTTCAAAATTTTTCCTTTATATTATATAGCATGTTATAGATTATACTTACATTGTGCTCTATAGTTCTAATTACAGTGCTTTTCGTATTTGTTGTACAGTGTTCGAAATTAGTATATTTAGCGCTTTCATTTTTTCAATGTATTTCCTTTATATTATATAGCATGTTATAGATTGTACTTTCTTTGTGCACTATAGTTCTTATAACAGTGCTTTTCGTATTTGTTGTAGAGTGTTCAAAATTAGTATATTTAGCACTTTTGTTTTTTCAATTTTTTCTTTTGTATTATATAGCATGTTATAGATTGTACTTACTTTGACCTCTAAAATTCTAATTACTGTGTTTTTCGTATTCGTTGCAGAGTGTTCGAAATTAGTATATTTAGCGCTTTCGTTTTTTCAATGTTCTTCCTTTATATTATATAGCATGTTATAGATTGTAATTACTTTGTGCACTATAGTTCTAATTACAGTGCTTTTCGTATTTGTTGTACAGTGTTCGAAATTTGTATTTTTAGCGCTTTCATTTTTTCAATGTTTTTCCTTTATATTATATAGCATGTTATAGATTGTACTTACTTTATGCTCTATAGTTCTAATTACAGTGCTTCTCGTATTTGTTTTAGAGTGTTCGAAATTTGTATTTTTGGTGCTTTCATTTTTTTAATGTTTGTCCTTTATATGATATAGCATGTTATAGATTGTACTTACTTTGTGCTCTATTGCTCTAATTATAGTTCCTTTCGTATTTGTTGTAGAGTGTTCGAAATTAGTATATTTGGCGCTTTCGTTTTTTCAATGTTCTTCCTTTATATTATATAGCATGTTATAGATTGTACTTACTTTATGCTCTATAGTTCTAATTACAGTGCTTTTCGTATTTGTTGTGGAGTGTTCGAAATTTGTATTTTTAGCGCTTTCGTTTTTTCAATGTTTTAACTTTATATTATATAGCATGTTATAGATTTTACTTACTTTGTGCTCTATAGTTCTAATTACAGTGCTTTTCGTATTTGTTGTACAGTGTTCGAAATTAGTATATTTAGCGCTTTTGTTTTTTCAATGTTTTTCCTTTATATTATATAGCATGTTATAGATTGTACTTACTTTGTGCTCTATAGTTCTAATTACAGTGCTTTTCTTATTTGTTGTACAGTGTTCGAAATTTGTATATTTAGCGCTTTTGTTTGTTTAATGTTTTTCCTTTATATTATATAGCATGTTAAAGATTGTACTTACTTTGTGCTCTATTGTTCGAATTACAATGCTTTTCATATTTGTTGTATAGTGTTCGAAATTAGTATATTTAGCGCTTTTGTTTGTTCAATGTTTTTCCTTTATATTATATAGCATGTTATAGATTGTACTTACTTTTTGCTCTATTGCTCTAATTATAGTGCCTTTCGTATTTGTTGTAGAGTGTTCGAAATTAGTATATTTAGCGCTTTCGTTTTTTCAATGTTTTTCCTTTAAATTATATAGCATGTTATAGATTATACTTAGTTTGTGGTGTATAGTTCTAATTTCAGTACTTTTCGTATTTGTTGTAGAGTGTTCGAAATTAGTATATTTAGCGTTTTGTTTTTTCAATGTTTTTCCTTTATATTATATAGCATGTTATAGATTGTACTTTCTTTGTGCACTATAGTTCTTATAACAGGGCTTTTCGTATTTGTTGTAGAGTGTTCGAAATTAGTGTATTTAGCACTTTTGTTATTTCAATTTTTCTTTTATATTATAGCATGTTATAGATTGTACTTACTTTGTGCTCTATTGTTCTCATTACAGTGCTTTTCGTATTTGTTGTATAGTGTTCGAAATTAGTATATTTATCGCTTTTTTTTTTCAATGTTCTTCCTTTATATTATATAGCATGTTATTGATTGTACTTACTTTGTGCTGTATAGTTCTAATTACAGCGCTTTTCGTATTTGTTGTAGAGTGTTCGAAATTAGTATATTTAGCGCTTTCATTTTTTCAATGTTTTCCCTTTTTACTATATAGCATGTTATAGATTATACTTACTTTGACCTCTACAGTTCTAATTACAGTGTTTTTCGTATTCGTTGCAGAGTTTACGGAATTAGTATATTTAGCGCTTTCGTTTTTTCAATGTTTTTTCTTTACATTATAGAACATGTTATAAATTGTACTTACTTTGTGCTCTATTGCTCAAATTACAGTGTTTTTCGTATTTGTTGTAGAGTGTTCGAAATAAGTATATTTAGCGCTTTTGTTTTTTCAATGTATTTCCTTTATATTATATAGCATGTTATAGATTGTACTTTCTTTGTGCACTATAGTTCTTATAACAGGGCTTTTCGTATTTGTTGTAGAGTGTTCGAAATTAGTGTATTTAGCACTTTTGTTATTTCAATTTTTTCTTTTATATTATAGCATGTTATAGATTGTACTTACTTTGTTCTCTATTGTTCTCATTACAGTGCTTTTCGTATTTGTTGTATAGTGTTCGAAATTAGTATATTTATCGTTTTTTTTTTCAATGTTCTTCCTTTATATTATATAGCATGTTAAAGATTGTACTTACTTTGTGCTCTATTGCTCTAATTATAGTGCTGTTCATATTTGTTGTACAGTGTTCGAAATTAGTATATTTAACACTTTCGTTTTTTCAATGTTTTTCCTTTACATTATAGAACATGTTATAAATTGTACTTACTTTGTGCTCTATTGCTCAAATTACAGTGTTTTTCGTATTTGTTGTAGAGTGTTCGAAATAAGTATATTTAGCGCTTTTGTTTTTTCAATGTATTTCCTTTATATTATATAGCATGTTATAGATTGTACTTTCTTTGTGCACTATAGTTCTTATAACAGGGCTTTTCGTATTTGTTGTAGAGTGTTCGAAATTAGTGTATTTAGCACTTTTGTCATTTCAATTTTTCTTTTATATTATAGCATGTTATAGATTGTACTTACTTTGTGCTCTATTGTTCTCATTACAGTGCTTTTCGTATTTGTTGTATAGTGTTCGAAATTAGTATATTTATCGCTTTTTTTTTTCAATGTTCTTCCTTTATATTATATAGCATGTTATTGATTGTACTTACTTTGTGCTCTATAGTTCTAATTACAGCGCTTTTCGTATTAGTTGTAGAGTGTTCGAAATTAGTATATTTAGCGCTTTCATTTTTTCAATGTTTTCCCTTTTTACTATATAGCATGTTATAGATTATACTTACTTTGACCTCTACAGTTCTAATTACAGTGCTTTTCGTATTCGTTGCAGAGTTTACGGAATTAGTATATTTAGCGCTTTCGTTTTTTCAATGTTTTTTCCTTATATTATATAGCACGTTATAGATTATACTTACTTTGTGCTGTATAGTTCTATATACAGTTCTTTTCGTATTTGTTGTTGAATGTTCGAAATTAGTATATTTAGCGTTTTTTTTTTCAATGTTCTTCCTTTATATTATATAGCATGTTATAGATTGTACTTACTTTGTGCTCTATTGTTCTAATTACAGTGCTTTTCGTATTTGTGGTAGTGTGTTCGAAATTAGTATATTAAGCGCTTTCGTTTTTTCAATGTTTTTCCTTTATGTTATATAGCATGTTATTGATTGTACTTACTTTGTGCTCTATTGTTCTAATTACAGTGCTTTTCGTATTTGTGGTAGTGTGTTCGAAATTAGTATATTAAGCGCTTTCGTTTTTTCAATGTTTATCCTTTTTATTATATAACATGTTATAGATTATACTTACTTTGACCTCTATAGTTCTAATTACAATGCTTTTCGTATTCATTGCATCGTGTTCGAAATTAGTATATTTAGCGCTTTCATTTTTTCAATGTTTTTCCTTGATATTATATAGCATGTTATAGATTGTACTTACTTTGTGCTCTACTGTTCTAATTACGGTGCTTTTGGTATTTGTTGTACAGTGTTCGAAATTAGTATATTTAGTGCTTTTGTTTTTTCAATGTTTTTCCATTATATTATTGTTATGTACGAAATTTAGAATTAGGTTAAAAGCCCAAGGTAAAAAGAAGAATGGGCCTGGCAATAGAGTTGATTGAACTGACTGAAGGACACCATGAGGAAATCAAGGAAAATAGGTTTATTTCTAAGGAAAGACCTCAGGTCGGAAGGTCTTCAGGTCGGGAGGTCCTCAAGACGGAAAGACCTCAGGTCGGAAGGTCTTCAGGTCGGGAGGTCCTCAAGACGGAAAGTCATCAGGACGGAAGGACCTCAGGTCGGTAGGTCCTCAAGACGGAAAGACCTCAAGTCGGAAGGTTTTCAGGTCGGAAGGTCCTCAAGACGGAAAGACCTCAAGTCGGAAGGTTTTCAGGTCGGGAGGTCCTCAAGACGGAAAGACCTCAAGTCGGAAGGTTTTCAGGACGGGAGGTCCTCAAGTCGGAAAGACCTCAAGTCGGAAGGTTTTCAGGTCGGGAGGTCCTCAAGACGGAAAGACCTCAAGTCGGAAGGTTTTCAGGTCGGGAGGTCATCAAGACGGAAAGTCATCAGGACGGGAAGTCCGCAGGTCGGGAGGCCCTCGGGACGGGAAGTCTGCAGGTCGGGTGGCCTTCAGGACGGGAAGTCCGCAAGTCGGGAGGCCCTCGGGACGGGAAGTCTGCAGGTCGGGTGGCCTTCAGGACGGGAAGTCCGCAAGTCGGGAGGTCCTCAGGTCGGGAAGTTCTCAGGTCGGAATTCTGCGGCAGAACCAACAAGTCAGATGGTTTGCAAGTCGGGAGGATTGGCAGTCGGACCCATACTATTGTAGATTGGCAGTCGGGCCTAAAGGGCGGAAGGTCTGTGGTCAGCTCAAAGAGTGAAATATAGGGATAATTTTGGTCTGCTGAGGACGCGTGTCAGCAGGAGAAGGGTTGGAAGACGGTTGGGAAGGAGACGTTGTAACCGTTCGGGTGACGGTTTTCGGTACGGTTTCCCAGAGAATATTTAAAGGCTTGGATAATCATTTGGCAAGGCATCTTCAATCAACTTCAACAAAGCAAAGTCAGATTTGGGGATCACCACTTTAAATTTCAGTCTTTTATTTTCCAGTTTATTTTCTGTACCATACAGTGTTTAGAGATTCCTAATCTCAGGCACTAATTAATCAAGTTTAAGGATATTTTCTATATCTTTGAATTTTACTTTATTTTTGTTGAAAAATTACATCAACAAATTGGCGACCACAGTGGGAGAAAGCCAAAATTGCTCATTCCAATTCCGGCGATAATTTCATACGTCTAAGATCCGGCCGAATCATCGGAAGGGTCCATATGGCAGGTTCACAACCACAATCATCTTCGGCACCGGTGGGAGAATCCGTTCCACCACCTATTGTGCCAAATGCCGGGGAAATCCCACAACCACCAACTGATTGGTGGTCTTATGTTCAACAAATGAACAACCAGCATACTTTGGTTATGCAGAATATGTTGCGTGAGCAACAAACGAACATGTTGCGTGAGCAACAGAGTCTGATGCAGAACATGATAGATCAAGCACTGTCAAGGGTTAGTCTTCAGCCCACTCAAACGCCACCAGGAGTGTCACCGTCCAGACCACAGGCAAATTTTGCAGGGCCATCATTCGTGGATAGTACATTCCCAAGTGCCACAAATCCCAACCGAATGGATAGGGGAAAATCTCCTTTGACTTCTCCCAACAATGTTCCACTGGGACCAAGGGTTACCAATCCGCAGCCAAACAATACGAGGGAGGACAGGCCTGAAGGATATATACATGATCCTATTCATATTCCTGTGCAGGATCCGTTCCATGTTCCTGATCATCAACGCTTTCATGTAGATCCTGATGAGATTGCACATATATTAAGGGATCAGTATGGATTAACTCCTCAGATGGCTAACCGCCCTGCATATCAGAGACCTTTCCCAGAAAGGATCATTAATGAACACCCTCTCCCAAGGAATTATCGACCACCCGATTTTCATGCATTCTCAGGGGAGGACGGATCTTCCACCATAGAACATGTTGGTCGGTTCACAGCACAATTAGGAGAAGTTGGCAATAACCCTTTTTATAAGCTGCAGCTGTTTGGTTTATCTCTTACTAGAACAGCATTTTCGTGGTTTGCAAGTCTGCCTCCTGGACAAATTCAGACATGGGAAGGGCTGGAGATGGCATTTCATGCTAGATTCTTCAACCCTTTACCAACTGTTTCTTTAACTGATCTACTAGAATTGAGACAGTATCCAGAAGAATCTGCTTCACAGTTTATAGAAAGGGTGCGATTGATGAAGGGACGATGTCCTACGGTAATCAGTGAGAAAGAGATGACCAATTTAGTGGTCCGGAATATGCATACTCGCTTAAGAAAGGCACTCACTGCCCTGGATGTTGAAGATTTGGCAAGTCTTGCATCCAAGGCAGGACGTTTAGAGTCTTTGTTCAGAGAGGAAGATCAGCATAACAGGCGTAATAGAGGCCAACATATGGCGAGTATGGGAACAGAAACATGTGACTTTGATTTTAATCAGTCAGAAGAGATGGCAGCCGAAATCCTTTCTGGAAAACCTTATGTATGCCCTAAATTGAAGCCAGTACCAGGATCTGAAGGAAAGGAGCAACCGACGTTTGATAGTTCGAAAGCTGATGAAATCTTTGATATCCTACTGACTGATGGGCAGATCCGTATTCCAAAGGGGCAAAGATTGGCCACTAAAGAAGAAATCAAAGGGAGACCATATTGTAAGTGGCATAATTCTTTCACACACACTACAAGTCAGTGTACTCATTTCAGGAAGGAAATTCAAAAGGCCATCAAGACAGGTCGGCTCAAATACATCACTCTAGGTGTAGACCAGCAACCGTTTCCGAAAGTAACAACGGCAATGGTTGACATCCAACCAAGTTCGGAAACAGGGAAAAGTTCGGCCAATAGTGGACAAACAGGGGAACGAACTCAGGCAAGCCCCGGAACAAAGAAAGGAAATCAGCCAAACAGCAGCCGACCGGAAGAACGATTCAAAGTTGTTGAAAGGCCAGTCGCTGAAAAATGGGACCGTCCAGACGGTTCTTTTAACGTGGAGGTGAAAGAAAAGGTTTTAGTGCGTGACCACCCGACCAGAAAAACAGGTTCAGTCGGGAACAATTGGGCTCGAAATAAAAAGCCTTTACCCGTTGATATAGATCCTCGTTTCCCAGGTATGAATCGTACACAGATCCGCAACGCCAAACGCAGGTATGCTGCAAAGTATGGGAAACGAGTTCCTTCAGTAAAACAACGAACCGACGAACAAAAAGCAGCCGACCACTTGGCAGGAGATCAGTCCATTAGAGTCTTTACAGAACAAACGACCAACGAGCAGGGAGCAGCCATTCAGTCTCCAATTGGTCGGTCCAGTCGGGTCTGGTCAGGAAAGCAACCGAATGACGGATTAGGCGCTTCCGACTATACCAAAAGAAGTTCGTCGGGACAAGGGAAAGGTAAAGGAATGGCAGATGAAATAATTAGAGGTTTTCGATGCCAACATTGTGAACGGATCAACATCAATCCATCTCTTGAGGAATTTCGCATAGAATCTTTGACGGTTCAATCTCGGGATAAGACAAAGGAAGAAGTTGTAACTACAGAGGAAAGTTCAAGATCGGTTAAATCTCGTCTGGGACCACGAATCCCTTGTCGAATGACAGAGATTAATCAGATGAGAGATGAACCGATGTGGGCAAGTCTGGTAGATGATACTATGGACGAACCTTTATGGGCATTCTTGGTAGATGATGAATTAGAGGAAACAGAGTGGGCAAAGACTACAGATTCCGAGCCTCAAACGGAGGCACCTTCGATTGTGTTTCCTCCTATTCCAGAGGGTGCGATCTCCCATTTGAAACCTCTGTATGTTAATGCTCACATTTGTGGGAAACCAATCACAAAGGTTTTCGTGGATAATGGAGCAGTCTTTAATGTTATGCCATTGAAGACTCTCAAGAAGCTAGGGAAAGGAATTCATGATCTGTCTCCTGTGGAATTCGAAATGACAAGTTTTACAGGGCAGCCGACTAAGCCTGAAGGCATGATGGTTGCCACAATTGAAGTCGGACCAAAAAAGATCTCCACTGTTTTCTTTATTGTGGACGCAGATACTACATACTCTCTCTTGCTGGGAAGAGACTGGATTCATGCCTCTCAATGTGTGCCATCAACCTTGCACCAACAATTAATGTTCTGGGAAGGAAATCAGGTCTTCAAAATGGAAGCGAATGACAACCCATTCGATGTAACAGAACAAGTTGAAGAGTCAGTGTTTTATTCCAGTCATTTGGCTCCGATGTCTCAGTTGTATATGGCCAGGGAATACCCATACAAGGGTTATAAAGTCACTGGCCAGAACTCGATGTTCTATTAAAAGAACACTTTATTGTATGGCTCATGATAAAGCCACACCCATTCCCATATAATTTGTTTGTTATGGATGATACAAGTTTAGAAGTATGTAGTTCTCTTATTAATAAGTTCTATTTAAAGCAGTTATTACATAAAGCAGAAAATAGTAAAGAGATTCTTGATGTTCACCTCCAAGAAGATGAACAATTTCGTTGGCCCGATTTATTAGAAAAAACAGAACCAACAGCTTCATCACAAGACCCATTATTGGAGTTTAATTTAGGAACCGAATTGGTTCCAAAAGTGATCAGGCTAAGTGGTTATTTGTCTAAAGAGCAACAGACAATGATGCTCGAAGTTATTAGAAACAACATTGATTGTTTAGCATGGGATTATTCAGAGATGCCTGGTTTGACAAGGAGTCTAATAGAGCATCGATTGCCTATCAAGGAAGGTTGTAAACCTTACAAACAACCTCCAAGGCGAATGAGCCCGGATCTGATGCCTCAAATCAAGGAAGAAATCCAAAAACTTCTCAAAGTGGGTTTCATTCAGCCTTGCCGTTATGCGGAGTGGCTGGCTAACATTGTGCCAGTGGTCAAGAAAAATGGTAAGATAAGGATATGCATTGATTTCAGGGATTTGAATCTAGCTACCCCTAAGGATGAATATGTGATGCCTATGGCCGACATGTTGATAGATGCAGCAGCAGGGCATAAAGTCCTTAGTCTGATGGATGGTTATGCAGGTTATAACCAAATATTTCTGGCAGAAGAAGACATTCCTAAGACAGCATTTAGGTGCCCAGGGGCTTTAGGTATTTATGAATGGACAGTCATGCCATTCGGGTTAAAGAATGCAGGGGCAACTTACCAAAGAGCCATGAATTCAATCTTTCATGATTTAATTGGCAGATCTATGGAAGTTTATATTGATGATGTTATTGTTAAATCTGCCAGTTTTGACGAACATTTGAGAGATCTTGAAGAGGCATTCGAAAGAATGAAGAAGTACAAGTTGAAGATGAATCCAACCAAATGTGCTTTTGGAATATCAGCCGGGAGCTTTTTAGGGTTTTTAGTTCATGAGAGGGGAATTGAAATCGATGCCAATAAGGCTAAAGCCATTCTTGACAGTCGGCCACCCAAGACGGTTAAAGAAATCCAAAGTCTTTTGGGTAAGGTGAACTATTTGAGGCGTTTCATTTCTAATGCTGCTGGCAAGGTCAGACCCATTACTAAATTGTTGAAAGCTGGAAAAAATGCGTTTGAATGGGGTCCCGATCAACAGATGGCTTTAGATGCTATCAAGCAGGCATTGGTTCACCCTCCAGTCTTGATGCCTCCTAAACAAGGTCGGCCACTCAAACTTTATTTGGCAAATACATATGAAGTGGTTAGCTGTTTATTGGCACAGGATGGTGATGACGGGAAGGAAAGGGCAATCTACTATCTCAGTAAAACCCTTACAGGACCAGAACTGAATTACACTATGCCAGAAAAAATGTGTTATTCATTGGTTTTCGCTTGTACTAAACTCGAGCATTATTTGCTGCCCAGAAAGATTGAGGTCATATCAAAGGTGGATCTCATCAAATTGATTTTGCAGAGACCTACTATGAAGGGCAGACTCATGAAGTGGGCCATCAAATTGGCTCCTTTTGATCTTCAACATTCCCCTTTGAGGGCAGTCAAGGGACAAGCAGTAGCCGACTTCTTAGCAGAATTTTCACAAGTCGGGTATTCTCATTGTGATAGCGTCCGACCACTTGGTTGTT